AAATGAATAACTCCAAGCCCACGGCCAGATATCAATGGACTGTCTTGCCTCAAGGGATGCTAAACAGTCCTACAATGTGTCAATATGTTGTCAATCAGGTTTTAAGACCATATCGGGAAAAGTTTCCTCATTTTAAAATTTACCATTATATGGATGATATTTTAGTGGCAGCTCCAGGGCCCTCAGGTACAGTCTCAGCAACCTTGCCTGTTCTAACCTCCATTTTTCAAACAAATGGGTTTTTTATTTCACCTGAAAAAATTCAGCTTAAACACCCCTTTCTGTACTTGGGCCACAAGCTTTTGGCCTCACACGCTGAGCCTCAGCTGTCTAAGTTGTGTCTTCCGCCATGCCCGACCTTAGTCCAACTTCAACAATATTTAGGATCAATTAATTGGGCCCGTCCTTATATGGGACTAACCACCTCTCAATTGGCTCCATTGTTCTCTGCTCTTACGCAGGGAAAAAATCCAGGAGATAAGATCGTGTTAACTCAACAACAACTTAAAACTTGTGACATCATTCAGCATGCATTGTCAAAAGTATGGGTCGATCGTGTTCAGCCCGATATGCCTTTTTCTATGCTAATTTTTAACACTGTTGACCTTCCTACGGCAGCTTTGGCTCAGATCGTGTCTAATATAAAAATGGTGATTGTAGAATGGATCCACTTATCTCACACCCCGAAGAACACCATTTCACAGAAACATACACTCTTTGCTCAGCTTATAACAAAATCTCGCTTTAGGGCAAAGGCTTTAGGGGGTGTTGAACCGTCCTTTTTATATATCCCTTGTTCGCTAACGGCTTGGGAAAGTTTGTTGGCCAATTATGAATCTTTGCAGCAAGCACTTGCTGATTGGCCAGGAGAAGTGTCTTGTCATCCACCATCAGATCCTCGCATTTTTTTATTAAAAACAGTCCCATTTAAATGGCAATCTCCTTGTGCTTCTTTCCCTTTAAAAGAAGCAATAACGGTGTTTGCCGACGGCAGCAAGACTCATGGAGCCTGTGCTTGGAAAGAGGAGGGTAAGTGGCATACAAAAATCACCCCCCCCCAGACGTCAGCTCAGCGCTCTGAGCTAGTGGCGGCCACAATGGCATTTTTTCATTTTAAAGATCAACCCTTTAATCTGATTCTGGACAGTTTATATGTTACTCAAATTGTCAAAACCATTTTTGACTCATATTTGGCACCGAATGTCTCTATGGATCTGTTAACATTATTTTTGGACTTGCAACATCTCATAAACGATAGGAAGCACCCATTTTTTGTTGCCCATATTCGTAGCCATCAGCCTTTTCCAGGCCCACTCCAAGAAGGCAATGATGTTGCCGATGCTGCCGCCTCACAAACACCTCTTAATATGCCACTCACCTTTTTAACCCCCTGGGAAAGTCACTCCTATTTCCATCAGAATAAGAAAGCATTAATCAAACAATTTAATCTTTCAGCTGCTGAAGCTGCTGCCATCGTTCAGCAATGTCCAACCTGTAGCAAGCAAGCACACTCAATACCACTTGGAGTAAATCCTCATGGCTTGGAGAGCTGTCAAATTTGGCAAATGGATGTTACTCAATATCCTCCTTTTGCCCCGTGGAAACATCTTCATGTTTCTATTGATACATATTCTGGCTTCATTATGGCTTCCCCCCAGCGGGGTGAGGCCACTAAACATGTTATCAATCACTGTATTCGGTCATTTGCACTGTTGGGACGCCCCAAAGAACTTAACACAGACAACGGACCTGCTTATATTAGCTCTGCTTTTGCAGAATTCTGTACAAAATGGTCCATTGTTCATAAATTTGGCATTCCGTATAATAGCCAAGGTCAAGCCTTGGTTGAGCGAGCAAATCAAACATTAAAAACAGCTCTCAATCGATATTTAAATGAAAAGGGGAAAATTGCCCCTGGCCTCCCAGCAGTGCAAAACATCCTTAACTTGTGCCTTTATACACTGAACTTTTTAAATCTGACGGGTGATCCATCATCAACAGCTGCCTCTCGTCATTTTTCAACAGTCCCTCCCCCTACTTCAAGACCTCCAGTTTACTATCGACGGCTTCCAGACCCCACGTGGAAAGGTCCTGCAGAGCTTATTACCTGGGGGAGAGGCTACGCTGCGGTAGATGATCATGGCAAAATCATTTGGACTCCAGCTCGCTGTGTTCGCCCTTATTTGGTTCAATCTCCACCATCCTAACCAGACATCAGACGACCATGGACCCTGGGCTCACAACTCTTTTATGAAAGATGTGCAGAATATTTCTCGTCTTTTGAACAAGACTGAGTGTTGGATGTGCATGCATATTCCAACCCTGGAGGAGGGAGGACTTTTTATGCATGCGGTGCCTTTTAATACAACTGGTTGGAAACAATTTCCCCGGTCGAGAGGGACCCTTTCCAATGCTATGGTGAACTATACGGTATACACAATAGGAAGCAGAATCCAGGAAAAGGCAGCGTTTTGTTGGGAATATATGAACACCGCTAAAAACTCTGTTTTAGTAGACAGATACCCATATTGTGACATCACATTTCAACTTTCAAACAACATGACTAGACCACATCCCGTTAAGAAAATTCCTCTTTTTGAATCCCTTGATGATTTTTCTGATTATATGTGTACCCATCAAAAAACTGGATGCTCGCTATCAACAGGATGTCACCCCGGCAACACAGACACGATGTCCACACTCTTCCTTTGCAGTATTGTAAGAGCCATGGTTCGCCAAACTGTGCAAAGCTCCAACATGACTACAAATATATTAAGTAATGTATGGATGCTTTGTGGCCGGCGGGCATATCAACGTATACCTCCACGGTGGTCCGGCCGTTGTACATTGGGCTTTCTTGCTCCCTCAGTTTTTGTGTCAGATCAGCCACCTTCAGGCCGTTTGCGCAATCAAAGAGATCTAAAAAATGGCCTGGGAGGACCCGGCAGTACAGGAACACAAGTTGCACGATCTATATTTCCATCTATGGGGGTAGCCATGAATTACAGAGACATCTATGCATTAAATAACTGGACTAGGCACATGTTCAATGCTACCATTCAGACTACCAAATTGTTAAACAAGGAAGTGGCAGAAATACGAGAGATTGTTCTGCAAAACCGTTATGCTTTAGACATTATCCTTGCCTCGAAAGGAGTATGTGCCTTAATCCATTCTCATTGTTGTGTTTATATCTCTGATTACAAAGCCAATATCACAGGTACCATTGAGCATATGGAAGACATGGTTTGTCATGATCCGTTACAATCCGACGGATCTGGCGCAATAAACATTTGGGATGCCCTATGGTCTTGGCTACCTGACGGAACCTGGCTGCCATCATTGGTTTCTGGTATTATAACTATTGTGGTTATTTTAGTTTTGATATGTTGTTGTATTCAATGTTTGCCCTCTTTGTTTATGATGTTTAAAAAATTTTCCTCAGGAACTGTCACCCATCAACAGGTCAATTTAGTAACTACACCTATCGCTGCAGTTCAGCAACCCCTGCTAACCAAACCAGCCTTCACCTTGCCAAGCGACACTGAGGATGACTTCGTATAAAGCGCTCCCTCCTTATTTTTAAATAAACAGAAAAGGAGGAGATGTTGGAGTTATTTGGATTATCTGGCCTGTGAGGCTGAGTCATCAGCTGCAGCAGGCCAAGGTATAAGGAAGTCGGAAGTAAAAAAGGTTGGGGTAAACAAAAGAAGTGCCGTGCGGTGCAAAGGAATGTGTTTGGTGTTTTGTTGGTGCCGGGTGTAACAGCTGTATAGGAGCGTGTGCAAAACAAAGCTGTAGCACGTGTAATATGCTAATATGCCGTGTCATAACAAATGTGGTTGGTGTAAGGTGGTCACCAGGTGCATATAAACGCGCCTTCTGGTAATAAAAGGGATGCTTCGGCTTTGTTCGGAGCTCCCATCCCAAGGAAACCACGTGTTCGTGTCTGTTCTTCTACACTCATGGGAGACCCGCTGGGCGCATGAAAACCCACAAGCACAAACCCTTTCCCTCTTTGCAGTTTTTCTCTGAGAAGCTCCTGACTTTGAACTGGGCTCCTGACTTGCCTTAACCCCATCTTGCCAGACCCAGAGAGAGACCCTCCCCTTCACTGTGCTTGTCTCAGCTAAGAGGCCACACCTGGCCAGCTTTGGCCACTCCAGGAAACCTCAGCAGTGCTGGATGGGAGATCACCAGGAGGTCCTTGGGCTCTGGGCTGGCTGGGAGGTAAATACACATTCAAGAGGAAAATGGGATATTCCTGTCATTTTAGGTGCAACGGAATCACAAGGCAATTTCCATCACCTCATGTTATCTGAGGCGTCTAAACTGAGTTTCCTTCGTCTCTTCTGGGCCCCAAAATCTTAATATCCAAAATGAAAAGTAAAAAAATCAGAAATAAAATTTTGAATTCTGCTGAAGCATTTGTGGAACCTCTCCTGTGCGGACGCTTTGGTGTACAAAAAGCACAAGAAACTTTTTTTTTTTTTTTTTAATTGAAAGTTTTATAAATTTTACAAAAAGACAAAAACAATACAAAACGAAAACAACATATACAAAAAAAAAAAAAACTAAACATTACATATAAAAAAAACCCCATCCCCCACCCCTCACCATAAACCCTCCCTTCCCCCCCCCCGAGCTTCCCAGAGCAGAATATAGGCTTAATTGAAAATTAACAAATAAAAAATTAAGTTAAAAAATTTATATAATATCTATAAGTAACATTAAAATATATATATAAGTATATATATCTCTCTATATATAAAGATAAAAATTATGAAAAAGCTATATAATATTTTTTTGTACCCAATCTAAATTGTATAAATTTTATCCATTTATCCCAAACGACAAGAAACTTCTCTTGCGTTTGTTGCTTTAGGAAAGCCGAAATCTTTGCCATTTCCGCCAAATAAGCTACTTTAAGAAACCATTCCTGCAATGTAGGCAAAGACTCCTTCTTCCAGTATTGTCCAACTAACAGCCTCGCGGCTGTAATCAAATTTAACATCAATACAACCTCCTTTGTATCACAATCTGTAACTATACCCAGCAAGAATAATTGCAGAGTAAATTTTACCCTCCTTTTAAAAATTCTCTGGATATTCCAAAGCACAAGAAACTTTGACAAAAAATTAACATGCTGGTTTCGTCATTGTGAAGGTTTCCCCACACCAAAAAACTGTAGGATTTCCCTTCTGGGGCTGTGTGAAGTTCCTGGTGAATTATAAGATGTGACATTTCAAAAAATGTTTTCCACATTCCTCACAACTGAAGAGGTTTCTCTCTATTGTGGATTTTCTGATGCCTTTTTACCTGAGATTTACTATGAAAGGTTTTCTCACACTCTGCACACTTGTAAGGTGACTCCCACGTGTGACTTCTGGTGTGCTTGCAAAGTGATGAAGTTCGGGCAAAACATTGCCCACACTCTGGACATTTATATGGTTTCTCTCCAGTGTGGATTCGCTGATGTATCACAAGAGTATTTTTTTGAGAAAAACATTTATCGCACTCCGAGCATTTATGGGGCTTCTCTCCTGTATGGATTCGGCTGTGGTTTCTAAGGGAACGTGAATGAGCAAATGTTCTCCCACAGTCTAAACATTTGTAATTTCTTTCCCCTGTGTGAGTTTTTACATGACTTCTAAGGGCTGATGTGGTAGAATAAAATTGTCCACATTCGATACATTGATATGGTTTCTCCCCTGTGTGGATTTTATGATGTCTCCAAAGAGTTCCCTTTCGAGCAAAACATTTCCCACATTCGAAGCATTGATGTGGCTTCTCCCCTGTGTGGGTTTTATGATGTCTCCAAACGTCTCCCTTTTGAGTAAAACACTTTCCACATTCTACGCATATGTACGGCTTCTCTCCTGTGTGGACTCTCAGATGCGTTCCAAGGTGTTGTTTTTGTGAAAAACATTTCCCACACTCCCCACATTTGTATGGTTTTTCCCCTGTGTGGATTCTTTTATGAAGCTGAAGCACTCCTTGTGTAACAAAACCTTTCCCACATTCCCCACATTGATAGGGTTTCTCCTCTTTGTGCCCCTTCTGGTGACTCTGAAGTAGAGAAGGAAACATAAATCGTCTCTCACATTCTGGGCATTCATAGGGTCTCTCTCCGGTGTGATTTCTCTGATGTTTCACTAGGTTTGATTTCGAGGTAAAACATTTCCCACATTCGAGACACTTTTCGTTTTTCTCCCTTCTGTGTGTTTTCTCATGACTCCGAAGACCTGAATTCTGGGTGAAACATTTTCCACACTCGAAGCATTTGTAAGATTTTATTCCTGCATGAACCTTCTTATGGTCCCAAAGACTTGCCCTTTGAGAAAAGCTCTTCCCACATTCCCAACACTTGTAAGGTTTCTCCCCTGTGTGAATTCTCTTGTGGTTTCTGAGACTGCGTTTTTCACTGAAAAAATTCCCACATTCCAGACACTGATAGGGTTTCTCCCCAGTGTGGATTTTCTGATGTCTAAGAAGGTGTGACCTTTGACCAAAGCATAAGTCACATTCCTCACATTTATGAGGTTTTAGTCTGGGGGGGTTTCTGAAATTTTTCATGTCTTTTCCAGAGGAGGATTTCTCACCTTTCAATCCTTCACTGGATCCGCTTTCCACATGGAACTTCCTGTGGGTCAAAAGGAGGGACCTGTGAGCAAAGGATTTCCCACACTCTGAGCATTCATGGGTTCTTTTGTGGTTTTCCGGAGTGCTGCTTGTGTCTCACAGGGGATCCAAGAGTTTCCCAGGCTCCATCCTTTCTGGCACTGGCTGCCTTGGGCTGATTTTCTACTATCTCTTGAAAGGTGACTTGCAGGTGAATCTTTGGTCAGAGTTGTTTTCCTGGTGGTGGAAAAAGAAAGAAGAGGAAAATAATGTTTCGTTCTGAGAATGGTAGAAAATCACAAAATCTTAGCCTTGGAAGGGACCATGAAGGTCCTCCAGTCCACCCTCTGACCAGGGCAGGGGTCCACAGTACACCCCAGACAAAACCTCCATGGATTCCGTCACCCCAGATTCCCTCGGAGGCAAATTCTCCTGCTGTTCACTGACTCTATCTTTTCCTCCTTGGTTCTCATCCTATGACGAGGAGAAAAAGAATCTCTGAAATTTTAGGTAGTCCTCAACTTATGACCAAAATCTGGACTGGAATCTCAGTGTGTCCAGGGAAGTAGGGGTTATGTGAGGGTCACACGGCCACTTCACTCACCAAGCACAATCCCACACTCCTGCTTACAGTCATTAAATCATCTTGAGGGTTCTTAAGTGGAGGAAGGGCCAGGAAAGGGGGTGGGGGTGTCCAGGGGTGGGCGGGTCCTAGAGACCAGGCACAGGCCCTCCCCCATGAGTTGGGGGGGGCTGAAGTGGGATGGAAGCCTGAGCCACTCCATCCAGGCCATGAAAAGCAACCCCAATTGACAGCAATGCCAGGGCTGGCCCTTAAGTGGAGGCCTGGGGCCTTCAGCCATTTCAGCCAGTGGCCACTGACTCCAGGCCTGGACTTTAGCCCAGTGTCACCACAGCCACTGAGAAATGAGGCGTTAATCCCCACACTGGAGGCCTTTGCAACCTTGTGCCATTCTCCAAGCCGCCTGTTCCATTCATGTTTCCAAGCCATGTGCCCCAAAGTCAATGTGTCCCTGAAGCCAAAAGTAGCCTGTGCTGGGACTCACATGGCTTCTCCTGCCACTTCAGACAACCCCACATTCGTCTGCCTAACGACATGTGAAATCAACTTCCTTGGCTTAAGCCACTGAAACAGATGTAATTCACTTTATCCCTTTATCTCTAGCCCGTCTAGACTCTAGAGCAGACATGTCAAACACAAGGTCCGGGGGCTGGATGCGGCCCGTGAAGTGGTTTCATGTGGCCTGCAAAGCCATCCTAGAAACTGTGAGGGAATGGCCCCCGTTGCCTTGGCCCTGGCCGGCTGGGAGCCAATGTACAATTTTGTGGTGGCCAACTATGGTGAAATACATTCAGTCTTAGCTCCACAAGGCCATCTGGAATCAGCGAGAAACCAGCCCCTGCTGCGTCACCCCCCACCCCCTGGGTGCATGCTGGAAAGGTGTCACCCTTTGTGAGGAATGAAGAAATGCACCATGCCTTGGCACTTGCCCTGGTCCCACCCCCTTCTGCCAGAGACCCTCAGATCTGTCCCACTCCTGCCCAGGCCCCCACAGGCAACATTGACGCGAACGATGTAGAGCTGGCCATGCCCACCCAGTAGGCCACACACACTCCATCCATGCCCACCCTGGCCACACACCTCCACCCCCTCCCCCGAGGGCAACCCCAATGCTGATGCAGCGCTCAATGAAATTGAGTTTGACACCTCTGCTCTAGAGCCTCCGGAGAACCATTTCTGCACATTAACAGGCTGCAGTCCTTGTTTCTGCTTTCACAACAATTAAAGCTATTCAAGACCTCTGATTGCAAGATTGCAGCTTTTTCTTTAGGCCAATGGTGGTGAACCTATGGCACGGGTGCCACAGGCGGCACTCAGAGCCCTCTCTGTGGGCACATGAACCGTCACCCCAGTCCTAGGCCTTCAGCTGGGTTTTATAAAGACTTTTTGCTTTAGGCCTACACCGCCATGTACCCTCCAAAAAAGGTTCAATCAGTGAATTTCAACTTCTGACGGGGAAAAAAAATATCTTGAAAAGTTGGAATTGATTGAACTTTTTAGTCCCACCCAGTCTGCCATTACCACCGCAGCCACGCCCACCCAATGGACCACACCCACCCAATGGGCTACACCCACCCGGCACCAGACCATGCATAAGTGGGTTTTGGGTTGCAATTTAGGCACTCGGTCTCTAAAAGGTTCGCCATCACTGCTTTAGGCTAAAGCCGGCGCCAGTCTGCCCGAGGCTATTTATCAGGCAGCTTCGAGTGGAAGGAAAAAAAATGGAGATGGTGTTACTTTTTCCCTTTTGCGGCTCGTGCAATTTACTTTGGCTTTTCTATCTCTTCAAAGACTTTTGTCATAAACGGGGGGGGCTTTTTCCGGAGGGGGGTTGCGTTTTCGTCCTACACCCCTACACACAAAGGATTTTCTTTTTTGCCTTTTACACTGAACTCAAAGGAAGGGGGGGGTTTGTGGGTTAAGAAAACAACGAACTCCATTCAGTTAATTTAACCCTTTTTCTTTCCCCCAAAGACTCCCTTCTCTATCGCAATGAGGTCGGTCCGTTTTAAAAAATCACATTACAAATCTCACTAAATCTTTTAAAGCTTCGTTTGCTACATTTTTGGAGCTCCACGTGCGCGATATGCATACTCAGGAGACCTCGTCCTGTGACGGACCACAGAGAGACCTTCTGGAGCAACTTCCCCAAAAGCTCCTTCCCGGATCCACCCGGAGCCTCAGAGGGATCCTGGGACGGGAGAGGACGGGGCAGATCCAGCCCGGGGAGGGAAGGATCCCCCTTTGCCCCCCCGGAGGGAAGGGATCCGCTCCCTGCAGGCGACGCCAGAGCCGAATCTCCCCAAGGAAAACCCGGCAAGCCGAAGAGGCGGATCCGCAGCTACCTTTCTCCTGGCGGGGGGGGAAGCTCTCCTGGCGGGAGGGACGCCCCAAAGGCCGGAGGGGGAGCAGCCAGACCTCGCCGAAATAAGACCCAGAAGCCTCTCCCGAGGGATCCGGCGCCGATCCTGCCAGGGCGAAGCGAGACAGCCGGAAGGAAGCGGAAATCCACCGAGTGGGAGGGTCGAGGCGGGGGGCGGGGCTTCTGCTCTCCTCTCCGCCACCGCTTTCCGCCCCGCCCCTTAGCGATCTCAGCTCCTCTCCCTCCCTTCCCCTCTCCGCCTTCCCAGCCGTTTCTCCGCTGGGCATCCGCCTCCGGAGTTCCTCTGCCCATGCGAAGAGTGCCCTGCTGTGCCCGGGCGGGGCTGCCTCCTGCTCCAGCATCTGGGTGGAAACTGAAGCTCCGCGATGGCTTTTGGGGGGAGGCAGGAGGGACAGGAACCCCCCCACGTCCCTTCGAGGAGGGCTCCTCTCCGGCTGGGTCTTTGCGGAGCCCAGAGGGCGGAGAGGGAGGGGCTGGCCCGGGCTCCCTTCCCGGGGGGAGTCTCCCTGGGCGGGGGGGGGACATGCAGAAGCCGAGTCCCAAATCGCCTTTACCCCCCCTCCATCCCCCCTTCCTTTCCCAGGCTATGGATCCCTCCAGGTGGGTTTTTTTCGGGGGGGGGGGTGTCTCTACCGGCATCGCCTTCTCCACACCCGGGGCCGGAGGAGCAAAGTGAAGATTAGCATCAAAACGAAGGATTTTATTTTTCGCCTTTTAGAGAGAGCGCAAAGAAAGAGGATCCCTTTTGTGGGCTAAGACAACAGGAACCCAATTAATTTAAACTTTCTTTCTTTCTTTCTTTCTTTCTTTCTTTCTTTCTTTCTTTCTTTCTTTCTTTCTTTCTTTCTTTCTTTCTTTCTTTTCCTTCCTTCCTTCCTTCTTTCTTTCCCCCAAACCCTCCCCGCCCCGGTGCAATGAGATCAGTTGGGTTAATACGACATTACAAATCTCAATACATGTTTTAAAGCTCCGCTTACTCCATTTTGTTCAACCGCAATTGAGGGAGATGCAAACTCCCAGCCGGAGAGGAGCCCTCCTCGAAGGGACGTGGGGGGTTTCCTGTCGCTCCTGCCTCCCCCCCAAAAGCCATCGCGGAGCTTCAGTTTCCACCCAGATGCTGGAGCAGGAGGCAGCCCCGCCCGGGCACAGCAGGGCACTCTTCGCATGGGCAGAGGAACCCGGGAGGCGGATGCCCAGCGGAGAAACGGGGAGTCCCGCCTGTGAAGGCGGAGAGGGGAAAGGAGGGAAAGAGGAGATGAGGCTGCTAAGGGGCGGGTCTGTCAGACGTGGGCGGAGCTCAGAAGAGCAGAAGCTCCGCCCCCGATTTCCCCTCCCACTCGATGGATTTCCGGTTCCTTCTTGTGCGTCCCGCTTCGCCCCTGGCTGGATCGGCGCTGGATCCCTCGGGAGAGGCTTTCGGATCGCGCTCCGGGCAGGTCTGGCTGCTCCCCCTCCGGCCTTTGGGGCGCCCCTCCCGGCAGGAGAGCTTCCCCCCCCCGCCAGGAGAAAGGTAGCTGCGGATCCGCCTCTTCGGCTTGCCGGGTTTTCCTTGGGGAGATTCGGCTCTGGCGTCGCCTGCAGGGAGCGGATCCCTCCCTTCCCTCCGGGGGGGCAAAGAGGGATCCCTCCCCGGGCTGGATCTGCCCCCTCTTCGCCCGTCCCAGGATCCCCGCGGGGCTCCGGGTGGATCCGGGAAGGAGCTTTTGGGGAAGTTGCTGCAAAAGGTCTCTCTGTGGTCCGTGAGAGCTAGAGGTCTCTCAGCATGCATCTCCCTCCCATTTTGAAAAAAATGGAGTAAGCGGAGCTGTAAAACATGTATTGAGATTTGTAATGTGATTTTTTAAAACGGCCTGACCTCATTGCGATAGCGAAGGGAGACTTTGGGGGAAAGAAAAAGGGTTAAATTAACTGAATGGAGTTCGTTGTTTTCTTCAGCCAGAAAAATCCCCCTTCCTTTGAGTTCAGTGTAAAAGGTGAAAAAGAAAATCCTTGTCTGTGTATGCTTGTAGGGCGAAAACGCAATCGCCCCGCCCCCGTTTATAACAAAAGTCTTTGAAGAGATAGAAAAGCCAAAGTAAATTGCACGAGCCGCAAAAGGGAAAAAGTAACACCATCTCCGTTTTTTTTCCCTTCCACTCGAAGCTGCCTGATAAATAGCCTCGGGCAGACTGGCGCCGGCTTTAGCCTAAAGAAAAAGCTGCAATCTTGCAATCAGAGGTCTTGAATAGCTTTAATTGTTGTGAAAGCAGAAACAAGGACTGCAGCCTGTGTATGTGCAGAAATGGCTCTCCGGAAGATCTAGACCGGGTAGAAATAAGGGGTGTCAAACTCAATTTCATTGAGGGCGGCATCAGCATCGTGATTGCCATTGGGGGGCCTGGTGATTGTGGCTGGCATGAGCGTAGCCTACTGGGTGGGCGTGGCCAGCCCATGTCACTCATGTCAGGGGCACCTGTTTTCACAAGTCCTTAGTTCTAGGCTGGTTTTTTTCTTGATTAGTTTCCATCTATTATTTGCCTTTTGATGCTTTGGAAAATAAGTTGACCCCTTCTTCTCTGTGGCAGCCCATCAAATATGGGAACACTGCTATCATGTCACCACCCCATGTCTGGCCTAGAGATAAAGGGATAAAGTGAATTACATCTGTTCCAGTAGCTTAAGCCAAGAAAGCTAATTTCACTTGTCTTTAAGCAGACGAAGTGGGCAGGAGAAGCCATGTGACTCCCAGCACAGGCTACTTTTGACTTCAGGGACACATTGATTTTGGGGCACATGGCTTGGAAACATGTATGGAACAGGGGGCTTGGAGAATGGCGCAAGGCTGCAAAGGCCTCCGGTGTGGGGATTAACGCCTCATTTCTCAGTGGTCGTGGTGACATTGGGCTAAAGTCCAGGACTGGGGTCAGTGTCCACTGGCTAAAATGGCTGAAGGTCCCAGGCCTCCACTTAAGGGCTAGCCCCAGAATTGCTCTCAATCAGGGATGCTTTTCATGACCTGGATGGGGCAACTTAGGCATCCATGGATGGCTGCAGCTGTGCATCCCCTTCAGCCCCCCCAACTCATGGGGGAGGGCCTGTGCCTGGTCTGTAGGACCAGCCCACCCCCAGACACCCCCACATCCCTTGCCTGGGCCTTCCTCCACTTAAGAACCCTCAAGATGATTTAATGACTGTAAGCAGGAGTATGGGATTGTACTTGGTGAATGAAGTGGCCGTGTGATCCTCACAACCCCTACTTCCCTGGACACACCGAGATTCCAGTCCCAATTTTGGTCATAAGTTGAGGACTACCAAAATTTCAGAGATTCTTTTTCACCTCGTCATAGGACGAGAACCAAGGAGGAAAAGATAGAGTCAGTGAACAGCAGGAGAGTTTGCCTCCGAGGGAATCTGGGGTGACGGAATCCATGGAGGTTTTGTCTGGGGTGTACTGCGGATCCATGCCCTGGTCAGAGGGTGGACTGGAAGACCTTCATGGTCCCTTCCAAGGCTAAGATTTTGTGATTCTGTACCATTCTCAACAGGAAACATTATTCTCCTCTTCTTTCTTTTTCCACCAGCAGGAAAACAACTCTGACCAAAGATTCACCTGCAAGTCACCTTTCAAGAGATAGTAGAAAATCAGCCCAAGGCAGCCAGTGCCAGAAAGGATGGAGCCTGGGAAACTCTCGGATCCCCCGTCAGACACAAGCAGCACTCCAGAAAACCACAAAAGAACCCATGAATGCTCAGAGTGTGGGAAATCCTTTGCTTGCCGGTCCCTCCTTTTGACCCACAGGAAGTTCCATGTGGGAAGCGGATCCAGTGAAAGTTTGCAGGGTGAGAAATCCTTCTCTGGAAAAGACATGAAAAATTTCAGAAGCCCCCCCAGACTAAAGCCCTATAAATGTGAGGAATGTAACTTATGCTTTGGTCGAAGGTCAGCCCTTCTTAGACATCACAAAATCCACACTGGAGAGAAACCCTATCAGTGTCTGGAATGTGGGAAATTTTTCCGTGAAAAAGGCAGTCTCAGAAACCATGAGAGAATTCACACAGGGAAGAAACCTTACAAGTGTTGGGAATGTGGGAAGAGCTTTTCTTGGAAGGCAAGTCTTTGGGTCCATGAGAAGGTTCATGCAGGAATAAAATCTTACAAATGCTTTGAGTGTGGAAAATGTTTCACCCGGAGTTCAATTCTTTGGACTCATGCGAAAACACACAGAGGGGAGAAAAACAAAAAGTGCCTCGAATGTGGGAAATGTTTTATCTCAAAATCAAACCTAGTGAAACATCAGAGAATTCACACCGGAGAGAGACCCTATGAATGCCCAGAATGTGGGAGACGATTTATGTTTCCTTCTCTTCTTCAGAGGCACCAGAAGGGGCACAAAGAGGAGAAACCCTATCAATGTGGGGAATGTGGGAAAGGTTTTGTTACACAAGGAATGCTTCAGCGTCACGAGGGAATCCACACAGGGGAAAAACCATACAAATGTGGGGAGTGTGGAAAATGTTTTACCCAAAAAGAAAACCTTGGAAGTCATCAGAGGCTCCACACAGGAGAGAAGCCATACAGATGCCTAGAATGTGGGAAATGTTTTGCTCAAAAGGGAACTCTTTGGACACATCATAAAACCCACACAGGGGAGAAGCCATATCAATGCTTCGAATGTGGGAAATGTTTTGCTCGAAAGGGAAACCTTTGGACACATCATAAAACCCACGCAGGGGAGAAGCCATATCAATGCTTTGAATGTGGGAAATGTTTTATCTCGAAATCAAGCCTGGTGCAACATCAGAGAATTCACACCGGAGAGAGATCCTATGAATGCCCAGAATGTGGGAGACGATTTATGTTTCCTTCTCTTCTTCAGAGGCACCAGAAGGGGCACAAAGAGGAGAAACCCTATCAATGTGGGGAATGTGGGAAAGGTTTTCTTACACAAAGAGAGCTTCAGCTTCACGAGAGAATCCACAAAGGGGAAAAACCATACAAATGTGAGGAGTGTGGGAAATGCTTTGCCCAAAAAGAAGGCCTTGGAAGGCATCAGAGGCTCCACACAGGAGAGAAGCCATACAGATGCCTAGAATGTGGAAAATGTTTTGCTCAACAGGGAAACCTGTGGACACATCATAAAATCCACACAGGGGAGAAACCATATCAATGCATCGAATGTGGACAATTTTATTCTACCACATCAAACCTTAGAAGTCATGTAAAAACTCACACAGGGGAAAGAAACTACAAATGTTTAGACTGTGGGAGAGCATTTGCTCATTCACATTCCCTCAGAAGACACAGCCGAATCCATACAGGAGAGAAGCCCCATAAATGCTCGGAGTGCAATAAATGTTTTTCTAAAAAAAATACTCTTGTGATACATCAGAGAACCCACACTGGAGAAAAGCCATATAAATGTCCAGAGTGTGGGCAATGTTTTCCCCGAACATTATCACTTCGCAAACACACCAGAAGCCACACAGGGGAATCGCCTTACAAGTGTGCAGAGTGTGAGAAAACCTTTCATAGTAAATCTCACCTAAAAAGGCATCAGAAAGTCCATAGTAGAAAGAAACCCCTTCAGTTGTGAGGAATGTGGAAAACATTTTTTGAAATGTCACATCTTATAATTCACCAGGAACTTCACACAGTCCCAGAAGGGAAATGCTATAGTGTTTTGGTGTGGGGAAAGCTTCACAATAACGATGTCAAGACTGCTAACATCGGATGTTCTTGCTTGCCATATATGAAAAAGCAAACACGTTTTATTTAACCTGCGTATCACTTCTAGAGTTAAAGTCAGACAATGTTAGAATAGCGGGTGGGAAAGTATATACTCGGGGGATAGTTAGCCACAACAATATTTCAGTACAGTATTGCCAAGGTCAGCTGTAACCAGAGGAGTTATGGGAGGGAAAGTTCACACTTCAAACTAATTGGAGAACGTGATTGATGACTGTGAAATGAAGGAGTGAGTTATGCTTTATTACGGGTGATTGGGGGTGGGAGGATTCAGTTTTTGGCTGCATTATGTACGTGCCAAAGCTATGTGGCAATAAAAGGATTCTTTAAGGCAGTGGTTCTCAACCTTTTTAATGCCACGACCCCCAACCGGTCGTATGTCGAGGACTACTCAACTGGTGCAGCACCGTTTGCAGAATGGGACTTTTGGTGGGCTCAGCAGGACAGAGACAGCCTGGACAATTCCTATTGGCTTTTGAAAGCCAACAGAATTAGACTCTATTCAAGAGAATCTATTCTATTGGCTTTCAAAAGCCAATAGAATAAAATGGAGTAGCACAGCTAAGGAAAAGGGGGGAAAAAATGGTAGACTGCGTTGGTTGGCGACCCCCGTGAAATCGTCGTTCGACCCCAAATGGGGTCCTGACCCACGGGTTGAAAACCACTGCTTTAAGGTAAACAAAGGGTCAAAGGTCTTTGAAAAACTGCTTCTTTCGGAACGATGACATACGAAACCAGCATGTTAATATTTTGTCCCAGTTTCTTGTGCTTTTTGTACATCAAAACGTCTGCAAAGGAGAGTTTCCCCAAATGCTTCAGCAGTAACCAAAATTTTATTTCTTATTTTTTATTTTTCATTTTGGATATTACAATTTTGGGGCCCGAAAGAGAAGGAAACACAGTTTAGATGCCTCAGATAATATGAGGTGATGGAAATTGCCTTTTGATTCCATTGCACCTAAAATGACAGGAATATCCCATTTTCCTCTTGAATGTGTATTTACCTCCCAGCCAGCCCAGAGCCCAAGGACCTCCTGGTGGTCTCCCATCCAGCACTGCCAGGCTTTCCTGGAGTGGCCAAGGCTGGCCAGGTGTGGCCTCCTATCTGAGACAAGCACAGTGAAAGGGAGGGTCTCTCTCTGGGTCTGGCAAGATGGGGTTAAGGCAAGTCAGGAGCCCAGTTCAAAGTCAGGAGCTTCTCAGAGAAAAACAGCAAAGAGGGAAAGGGTTTGTGCTAAGTGACCGAGAGTCTTTTTGGAGTTGGGCAGGATTAAAAAATTCAGGAAATAAATAGAAACATGGAATAAATATCCTACAGCACAGCAGACAGAAGCCTGGGGAAAAGAAGAGCATTTGCTGATAATTTTGTAGTAATTTTGGAAAACTTTTTTGTAAGGAACAAAAATATTAATGGAAAAATTAATATTTTTGTTTTGGTCATTAGCTGGTTTTAAAATTAATAGCTGAAAGACAAAGATGGCAAAATAAACATGAAAACGGGAGAGCAAATAGAATGGATGGGAAAAAAGTGTTTTGAAGAAATGACACAAGAGTGAGAAACCTGAGCATTATTTTAAAATACAAATTGTATGTCAAAATAATTATGTTAAGGCGTGGGATGAAATCAAGAAGGATGTGTTAAGATGTGGAAATTACAACTGTTGTTGGGGAGAATTTCTGTGATTAAAAATGAATGTATTTCCTACTTTCATGATGTTTCTGTTTTAAAAAATACCTTTCTAAATAATACATTGGTTCTCAACCGTTTTAATGCCGCGACCCCCAACCGGTCGTAAGTCGAGGACTACTCAACTGGTGCAGCACCGTTTGCAGAATGGGGCTTTTGGCGGGCTCAGCAGGGCAGAGACAGCCTGGACAATTTCTATTGGCTTTTGAAAGCCAATAGAATTAGACTCTATTCAAAAGAGGGAGTAGCACAGCTAAGGAAAAGGGGGGAAAAATGGCGGACTGCGTTGTTTGGCAACCCCAGTGAAATGGTCGTTCGACCCCAAATGGGGTCCCGACCCATGGGTTGAGAACCACTGAAATAATAGATGCACCCCTTAAGCCAGGGGTGTCAAACCTATGGCAAGGGCGCCATCGCCTCAGCCCTAGTCCTTCAGCTGGGTTTTATAAAACCTTTTCACTTTAGGCCTCCAACGCTGTGTGCAAAGAAAAAAAAAGGTTCAACCAATCTGTCAGTTTCAACTTTTTGCAGGGGAAAAAAAGATCTTGCAAAGTTAGAATTGATTGATTGAACTTTTTAGTTCCACCCAGTCTGCCGTTACCACCGCACCCACGCCCACCCCATTGGCCACACCCACCCAGCATCCGAAGATACATAAGTGGGTTTTGGGTTGCAGTTTGGGCACTCGGTCTCTAAAAGGTTTGCCATCACTGCCCTAAGTGGAATTTTCCTCCAATGGGATTTTCCCATATATTTTATCAGGAAACATAGATAGGGCAGCCTAGAAAAGTCAGTTCCCTCCTAACCATACCCAAGCACTCCAAATTTGTTGGCGATGGCCATTTTGCTCTCTGAGTTCATGGTAACCTAACCCTAAGTGGAGTTTTTCTCCAATGGGATTTTCCCATGTATTTTACCACGAAAGATAGATAGGTCAGGCTAGAAAACTCAGTGCCCTGCTAACTATACCCAAGCCCTCCAAATTTATTGGCAATGTCCATTTTGTCTCCTAGATCATAGTGACGTAACTCTACGTCCGTGGTGGCGAACCTATGGACGCGTGCAGAACCCTTTCTGTGGGCACGCGCGCCATCGCCCCAGTCCTAGCCTTGAACTGGGTTGTTCAAAACCTTTTTGCTTTAGGCCTCGACCGCCGTGTGCAAAAAAAAAAAAAAAGGTTCAATCAATCAATTTCAACTTCTCATGAGAAAAAAAAAGAACTCGCAAAGATGGAGCTGATTGATTGATTAAAGGGAGGGGTTGCATTTTCACCCTACAACCCTACACACAACGGATTTTCTTTTTCGCCTTTTACGTTGAACTCAAAGGAAGGGGGATGTTTGTGGGTTAAGCCAACAATGAACGCCATTCAGTTAATTTAACCCTGTTTTTTGATCCTTAATAGCATTCAATAGCTTCAATAGATAAATAATAATAATCTTAAAAAGGGTTGATTTCCTTTTGTGGCTGCTATTCCTTCTTTAACTGTAGAACTCAATTCTTCCCAGAGGGCTTCACCGCTTTAGTCTCAATAAATAACTTCCCCTGTCCCAGAAAACAGGCGATTGGAGCATAAGCAGGCCTCCTGTGGACTTTCCTCACTGTTTTTAAATATCCCTTGGCTACAACCAACCGAAGCAAAGCGGTTACCAACAGAATAAGAGACGTGGTGTTCCAGCTAGAACTTAACAGAATCTCTCTATGCAGCAAGAAAATGGATTAAATGGGGTGTGTGGGGATCAGCAAATCTTTTTCTTTTCCCCAAAGACTCCCTTCGCTATCACAGTGAGGTCAGTCCGTTTTAACATCACATTACAAATCTAAATCTTTTAAAGCTCCGTTTGCTACAGTTTTTGGAGCTGCACGTGCGGGATATGCATATTCAGGAGACCCGGTGCTGTGACGGACCACAGAGAGACCTTCTGAAAGCAACTTCCCCAAAAGCTCCTTCCCGGATCCACGGGGAGCCCCACGGGGAGCCTTGGCCGGGAGAGGACGGGGACAGCCAGAACTGCCCGGAGGGGGATCCAGCACCGGAAGGGGGATCCAGAAGTGTGACATGCGAGGGAGTAGGCGGAGCTTCTGTTCTCCTCCTGGGCTCCGCCCACTACTTACAGCCACACCCGTTAGATCCCGCCCTCTCCTTTTCCCTTTCCGCCTTCCCAGGCGGGACTTCCTGTTTCTCCGCTGAGCATCCCTCTCCCGGGTTCCTCTGCCCATGCGAAGAGTGCCCTGCTGTGGCCGGGCGGGGCTGCCTTCTGCTCCAGCATCTGGGTGGAAACTGAAACTGCCTTTGGGGGGGAGGCAGGATGGACAGGAAACCCCCCCCGTCCCTTCGAGGAGGGCTCCTCTCTGGCTGGGAGTTTCCGGAGCCCGACTGAGGACGGAGAGGGAGGGGCTGGCCCAGGTCCTCAGGAGTGGGAGGGAGGGAGGGAGGACCGGGCAGGTGGCTCCTTGCAATGGCAAAGGGGTTACAGAGCCTCCTCCCCCCTCCTCGTGGTAGTGTGAGATGTAAAACCCCCAAATTTTGATACTCACAATACGGAGACAAGTCTGGTTAACAGAACAAAGTTTTATTGGAGAATAACAGAAAAAGAATAAAGAGAAGAAAAGATCCTTCCCATTATTCCATGTTTCTATTTATTTCCTGAATTTGTTAATCCTGCCTAACTCCAAAAAGACTCTCGGTCACTGAGCACAAACCCTTTCCCTCTTTGCAGTTTTTCTCTGAGAAGCTCCTGACTTTGAACTGGGCTCCTGACTTGCCTTAACCCCATCTTGCCAGACCCAGAGAGAGACCCTCCCTTTCATTGTGCTTGTCTTAGCTAAGAGGCCACACCTGGCCAGCCTTGGCCACTCCAGGAAAGCTCGGCAGTGCTGGATGGGAGACCACCAGGAGGTCCTTGGGCTCTGGGCTGGCTGGGAGGTAAATACACATTCAACAGAAATATGGGATCTCCCTGTCATTTTAGGTGCAATGGAATCAAAAGGCAATTTCCATCACCTCATATTATCTGAGGCGTCTAAACTGAGTTTCCTTCTTCTCTTCTGGGCCCCAAAATCTTAATACCCAAATCAGAAATAAAATTTTGGTTTCTGCTGATGCATTTGTGGAACCTCTCCTGTGCGGACACTTTGGTGTACAAAAAGCACAAGAAACTTTGACAAAAAATTAACATGCTGGTTTCATCATTGTGAAGGTTTCCCCACACCAAAAAACTGTAGGATTTCCCTTCTGGGACTGTGTGAAGTTCCTGGTGAATTATAAGATGTGATGTTTCAAAAAATGTTTTCCACATTCCTCACAACTGAAGGGGTTTCTCTCTACTATGGACTTTCTGATGCCTTTTTAGGTGAGATTTACTATGAAAAGTTTTCTCACACTCTGCACACTTGTAAGGCGACTCCCTGTGTGGCTTCTGGTGTGCTTGCGAAGTGATGAAGTCTCTGGACATTTATATGGTTTTTCTCCAGTGTGGGTTCGCTGATGCTTCCAAAGAGTACTTTTTTAAGAAAAACATTTATCGCATTCCGAGCATTTATGGGGCTTCTCTCCTGTATGGATTCGGCTGTATTGTTTAAGGGAATATGAATGAGCAAATGCTCTCCCACAGTCTGAACATTTGTAATTTCTTTCCTCTGTGTGAGTTTTTACATGACTTCTAAGGTCTGATGTGGTAGAATAAAATAGTCCACATTCGATGCATTGATATGGTTTCTCCCCTGTGTGGGTTTTATGATGTC